CATTCCCAGAAAGTCAGGCATTCCTCGCCTCTAGATGTTTATGGTTAAGGGAACAGATTAATCATATTTACTAAACAGACCTAGACTTGGGAGTGTCCAGATGTTCCCATATCTGGAGAACAAAGGCATTCCTAAATTTTGCTTTAAAGACAATAATATGATTCTTACAAAATATAGTAATTAAGAAAATTAATCCTTTATCACACAGGCTTGTAGCAGAGCCCATCTCCCCATATATACGAGTATGGTACCTAGGGTGGACGCACGTTCCTCCTCTACCTTAGGAACGCCCCACTCTGTCTGTGGAGTAGCTGTACTTTCACCACTTAATTTTCTTAATAAACTTGCTTTTACTTTGCACTGAGGACTTGCCCCGAATTCTTTCTAACGTGAGATCCAAGAATTCTCGCTTGGGGTCTAAATCGGGACCCCTTTCCTGTAACATAACTGAAGCAGGAGCGGCCGCGAGAAAAGACCTCTCGGACACCAAACTAGAAAGGAAGGGGTTTTATTCTTACGACCCGGGAGCAAGGCTTTATGTTTTGTCCAAACGGCCAACCTCCCCTAACGAAGAGAAGCTCTGCTTTATATAGGCTTACGCTCTAGATATTACACCTGTAAGGATCTTAGGTTTACAGCCTTAGAAATTACGAGTCAAAGGGTCTTGGGTTTACAGCTTTAGAAATCACATATGAAAGGGTCTTGGGTTTACACTTTTAGGAATTACATGTGAGGGCCGGGCGCGGTGGCTCAAGCCTGTAATCCCAGCACTGTGGGAGGCGGAGGCGGGTGGATCACAAGGTCAAGAGATCGAGACCATCCTGGTCAACATGGTGAAACCCCGTCTCTACTAAAAATACAAAAAATTAGCTGGGCATGGTGGCACGTGCCTGTAATCCCAGCGACTCAGGAGGCTGAGGCAGGAGAATTGCCTGAACCCGGGAGGCGGAGGTTGCAGTGAGCCGAGATCGCGCCATTGCACTCCAGCCTGGGTAACAAGAGTGAAACTCTGTCTCAAAAAAAAAAAAAAAAAAAAAAGGAATTACATGTGAAAGGGTTCTGGTCTCCGGATGCAGGAGTGGGGTGGGGGTTGATCTTGTTTAAGTAAAAACAGTGTCTTCCAGATTCCCCCGTACCGCGCCTGCTATCTTATAGGAAGGTGATTTAGGAGGCGCCAGTAGGCCAGCCTTTTCTTCTATTGAAATGCAGTGTGGAGGTCAAGGGGGAGGTGATCCTAGATGCCTGGGTCTCCTTCCTCAATAACCACTACTGAGAAAAGAAGGTAGTGGGACAAGGGTGGATACAGAAAAATGCGTTTCCCTCCCTCTTCTTTCCAATTCTTCCAGGCTCAGTGCCACAAATGTCAGAAATTTGGTTATTAAAAACCTAGATCACTCTGGCTGATTCATGTCTAAATTTATGTTTGTCTAAATGTAAAGTTAAATGAGAACATTACTACTACTCAGCTCATAGGGTTTTCGAAATAAAATTATTCATGTAAATCACTGGGCCCACTCTTTTATTATAGTCAAAGGCCTAATATAATTTGGTTATTCATCTTAATTATTTTTTGATCCAACAATAATGTATTGAACATCTACTACTATGCACCCAGGATGACAGCAAGGGCCGGGGGAAAGAAAAAGAATAAAAGTGAACACCTGCTATGCACCATATTCTCTTAACATCTTTGTAAATGTTATTATTCTTACTAAAAGGCTTTTCCCCATTCCTTGCTTGACCAGCTCCTTTGTGTTTCCATTTTGCTGCTCACATGTCGACATGCTCCAGAAAGTCCTTCCTAAGACTCTTTCATGCCCTGGCATCTCTTGCTGTTATCATAACGCAGAGCACACTACTGTATGGTGATCTATCTCTCTATCCCATTTAATTTTTTTAATTTTTAAATTTTGTTTTTTTAGGTAGTCTCACTCTGTCGCCTAGGCTGGAGTGCAGTGGCGTGATCTCGGCTCACTGCAACCTCCGCCTCCCAGGTTCAAGGGATTTTCCTTGAGTAGCTGGGACTATAGGCAGGCATGTGCCACCACGCCCTGCTAATATTTTTGTATTTTTAGTAGGAGATGGGGTTTCACCATGTTGGTCAGGCTAGTCTCAAACTCCTGACCTCAAATGCTCTGCCCACCTTGGCCTCCCAAAGTGCTGGGATTACAGGCGTGAGCCACTGTACCCGGTCCCCATTCAATTTAGAGCTGAGTACAGGGAATGTTTCTTTTAGCCTTGATTCTGATCTGTTGTCAGGCATAAAGCGCAGATAAATTTTTATCAAATAAAATGGAGTGGGAAGAATTGAGCAGATGAAAGCTGGTAATACAGCACGACAAAGTAGAAATGCCAGCAATTCACTATTACGATGGAAAAGATGCTATTGTATAATTCCAGTTTTACTATATATGCTACTTACTGGTTTTAGTAAGGGCTCCATATGGAGTGGCCTAGGCCTCAGTTTTGTGGAGTAACTGAATTGTGTTTTTTTGTTTGTTTTTTCAGTTTTTCAGTGGCAAATTTAAAGATCTGGGAAATATGAATTATTTTTTCTAATTTCCAATAGAGCTTTATGCATCAATATGCTAATTAGGTAAACTGCAGTATCAGTAATTTCCATAAAATATCTCTAATTCTTTTTTTTTTTTTTTTAAGACAGGGTTTCACCATGTTGGTCAGGCTGGTCTTGAACTCCCGGCCTCAGGTGATCCACCCGCCTTGGCCTCCAAAGTGCTTGTATTACAGGCATGAGCCACCATGCCCGGCCTCTCTAATTCTTTTAAAAACCTTGGAAAATAGATATTAGTTCTTGCTTTGCTACTGAGGAAATTGTGGCTCTGGAAGTTTAAGCAATCATCCAAGCTTGGCATTATTTACTGCCAACTCTTACACCTCTTCATGGTTCCATACCAGGTCCAAATCAGCAACATGTTTTGCCTAGTTGGCTGTGACAGCTTGCAGTCTATTGCTCATGCATCAGCCATACACGCAAGTATCCACACACACACACACGCGCACACACACACACACACACACACACACACCAGCTTAGATTGTGCCACTTCTTTGCTCAAAACTCTGGTGGCACCAGGAGCAGTGGCTCAGGCCTGTAATGTCAGCACTTTGGGAGGCCGAAGTGAGCTGATCACTTGAGGTCAGGAGTTTGAGACCAGCCTGGCCAACATGGCGAAACCCCCTCTCTATTAAAAATACAAAAATTAGCCAGGCATGGCGACAGGCACCTGTAACCTCAGCTACTCAGGAGGCTGAGGCAGGAGAATCACCTGAACCTGGGAGGTAGAGGCTGCAGTGAGCTGAGATCACACCACAGCCCTCCAGAATGGGTGACAGAGGCTCCATCTCAAGGGGAAAAAAACAAAAACAAACAACAACAAAAAAACCCAACCCGAATGGCATCCCATTACTTTCAGAGAAAACTTACAAACTGCAAAATCCTTTCTTTTGTGGCCCCTATCTCTGCAATTATATCCACAATCCTTCTACCTCACCCTAATTCTAATTCTGCCATTTTTGCCTCCTTGTTCTTCCTATGTCAAGCACATTTTCACCTCATCTCTTTGTATTTGGTATTCCCTATGCTGAAATGCTTTCTTCTCAGATTAACATCTTTTATTCTTTTACCTCATTAAGAGCTCTGCTTTAATGTCATCTCATCAGAGGACATCCCTAACCATCCTGTCTGGAGAGCACCCACCTATACATCTCTACTTAAGGCCGCTTGTCACATACCTTTGTATATTTCCTATCCCCCTTGACTGCATCTAAAATATAAGCTATAAAAGGGTAGACACATGGCTGGGCACGGTGGCTCACGCCTGTAATTCCAGCACTTTCAGAATCTGGAATTTCAGAGGCTGAGGCAGGTGGATCACAAGGTAGGAGTTTGAGACCAGCCTGGCCAACATGGTGAAACCCCATCTCTACTGAAAATACAAAAATTAGCTGGGCATGGTGGCTGTTCCTGTAGTCCCAGCTACTCGGAAGGCTGAGGCAGAATTGCTTGAACCCAGGAGGTGGAGGTTACAGTGAGCTGAGATCAGAGACGGCGCCACTGCACTCCAGCCTGGGCAACAGACCAAGACTGTCTCAAACAAAAAAAGAAAGAAGGAAAGAAAATAAATAAAGAAGGAAAGAGAAAGAAAGAGAGAGAGGAAAGAGAAAGAAGAAAGAAAAAGAAAGAAAGAAAGAAAGAAAGAAAGAAAGAAAGAAAGAGAAAGAAAGAAAGAAGAAAGAAAGAAAAAAAGAGAGACAGAAAGAAAGAAAGAAAGAAAGAAAGAAAGAAAGAAAGAAAGAAAGAAAGAAAGAGAAAGAAAGAAAGAAAGAAAGAGAAAGAAAAGAAGAGAGAGAGAGAGAGAGAAAGAGAGCAGAGACAACTGGGCACGGTGGCTCATGCCTGTAATCCCAGAACTTTGGGAGACAGAGGTGGGCTGATCACATGAGGTCAGGAGTTTGAGACCAGCCTGGCCAAAATGGTGAAACCCCATCTCTACTAAAAATATAAACATTAGCCAGGTACGGTAGTGCATGCCTGTAATCTCAGCTACATGGAAGGCTGAGGCAGGAGAGTCACTCGAGCCCAGGAGGTGGTGGTTGCAGTGACCTGAGATTATGACACTGCACTGCAGTCTGGGAGACAGAGTGAGACTTTGGCTGGAAGAAAAAAAAAAAAGCAGAGACATTTATTTTTTTAACACCACATCCCCAAAACCTAAACTATGTTGAGCATTAGAGAAAGAAATTACAGATATAAGGACTAAGAAACAAAATTGTCTGTATACACAGAATATATGGTTGACTATGTTTACAAAAAAACCCACAACAATATGCAGATACAAGAATGAGAGACAGCAAGGTTGCTGAATACAAAAATTAAAATCAACATTAGCTAAAAACAGAAAATGTAATAACTAAAAACACACCATAGGAAGTAGTGTTAAAAAGGATAAAGTCCCTAGGAAATATTAACAAGACCTTTATGGAGAAAATTATAAACTTTATTGAAAGATATGTCAAAGGCCTAAGTAAATGGACAGCTGTACCATATTCATGGATTGGAAGACAACATTGTAAAGATGACATGGCTTACCAAAGTAATCTATACATTCAATACAAATCAAATCAAAATTTCAACATTCTTGGGTTTGTTTAATTTATAACTTGTTGATCTACTTCTAGAAGTTAAATAGAAGAGCAGATGACATAGAATAGCCCAGACACTCCAAGGAAGAAAAAATTTGTGGTGATACTGGAGACAGAGGTGAGATTGGTTAAAATTATGACAAAAGGTGGAGGCATCTTGGTTTTTATCAAGACCTTTTCCTAGAGTTGTAATAATCAGGACTGCATTGTACTGCTACAAGATAAGACAAATTGACATGAGTCAGAATAGAAACCATCAAAATACCCAAACATGTACACAAACACTTAATTTATGAAAAAGAGGCAGTGTTACAAATCACTGGAGAAAGGATGAACTTTTCAGTAAATAGTGCTGAGACAACCACTTTGCCATATGAAAAATATTAAATTGAATTTCTAACTCTTAATTTTCACAAAAAAGCAGTTCAGGGCGGACTAAAGACAAATACGAAAGAAAAAACTATAAAACTTCTACAAGGCAGTAAAGAATGGATTTATGACTTTGGGCAGGAAAGGATCTCCCCACAAACCAACTAGTATTCAGCTTTATGTTATACATTTTAAAAACATTTATTTTCAGCAGGAAATAGTCAACATATTACAATTTCCAAACTCCCCTCCTCGGAAAGTCACTGTGAAAGCTAACAATGTATTTTGTTGCTGCTCTGAAGGAGAAAGATATTCAGAGAGGGTGGACACTTCACATGAGGTGAGTATGAACTTTTTACAGGCCTACTTTGATATGGAGGAAATAAAGTAAAACCTGCAGGATGAATCCACAAACTAAAAACAGGCATCTTGGTTCTTTTGAGTGACACAATTTCGATGTCACCACCGGAGTGCCTGAGTTTTGTTACTTAACACAGCTGATTTTCGGGCTGCCAAGGCTACATCAAGACTTTTGGTTTGAGGAAGTTAAGTCTATGCTGATGGCATCAGGGAAGAAGAAGACGTGAAGTTTTGTTTCCCTACACTGTAAGGCTTCTGTGCCCAAGTGGCTGACATGAGAATGTCAGAGAATCTCTCCTGGGAATCAAGAACGATCTTCAAAAACCGGGACAGAAAATCTTATTTTCCCCTATTTTAATTCCATTTCTGAGATACACCCTATTAGTGGTATTTGCCCTTTCCACAAAAGACAACAATGAAGTATCCTGTGTGCTAACAACATAACTTAAAAAAGAGAGCCAAACTTCTACAGTTTTATAAAACTTGATTTAAAAAAATAGGATTTCAAACAGTAGAGTCACTGTAAGTACAGAACTATCAAAACTGTCCATTTCACTTGGCATCCCCAGTGCCTTCCGCTTTCTGGGACTGGAGTGTAGAGGCATCTCGGTTTTTTGCAGGGTTGTTCCCATCCTTGCCAGCATCTGCTTTCCCCTTTCTCCCTTTGGGCAGCTTCTCTCCCTTCTTTGCAGGCACCTTTTTAGGCCTGGGCTCTGGTTTTGGAGGAGCTGGTTTAGCAGACAACCGCGCCGATCTCCTCTGTGGCTCATCCTTCACCTTTGCTTTATCACCTTTAGCATCTCCTTTTGCCTTTCTCTTGGGCATGGTGGCAGCAGTGTTGGCAGGTGGCTTAAGACGTCCTGGTGGGTGCGTCTGTCTTCCTCACGCTGCTCCTGGAAAGATGTCTTTAACAAGACACAAAAAGTGTAAACCATAAAGGGAGAGTGACCAATGTAAACATTCAAAATCAAATTTGACTAGATTGTTAATAATTTGTGTATATCAAAAAAAAAAACAGCATAATAAAATTACAATAGTAAGTTACCCGCTTGGCAAAGATATGTGTAACACACATAACAGACAAAATGTTAGAATCCTGAATACATAAAGCATTCCTATAGATCCATGAGAAAAGGACAAAATAAAAATTTTTAAACTATGGCAAAAAATGTTAACAGGTACTTCTTGGAAGCATGAGTGGGGAATAAGCGCATAAAAATACATGAGAAATACATACTAAAAGCATAGGCTATAACATTTCATATCCACCAAATTGAGAAAAACCAAATTGTCTGACAATATCAAGGGCTCAGCTGATATGGAGCAATCAAAACCCTTATGAACTGCTGCGTTTGTGTGTGTGTGTGTGTGTGTATGCACAAATTAGTGTATCTGCTTTTGGAAAGAGTGGTTATTTGTAAAGCAATCTGGAAACAGTGGTATTATGTAAAGAAATTTTACTTCTAGGTATTTACTTAAAGGGATTCTTGGAGGTGTGAACTGGAGATCCCTACAAGAATGTTTGTAGCAACACTGTAACTTCAAAAACCTGTAAATCACTCAAATGTCCTTCAATAGTAAAAGGGATACATATATTTTGGTAGTATCTATAAAAGGGAATACTATTATTTTGCAACTGAAACAAATAGATTACAGCTAGATTCCAAAACGAGGATGAATGTCAAGAATGTAACGCTGAACAAAAACAGCAAGTTGAAGAACGTGCACAGCATAGATCCATTTGTATGTGTAAAACTATGACACGTTGAGGCCACAAACATATAGTTACACACACACACACACACACACACACACACACACACACAAAGGGGATAAATAAAAATTGGACAGTGGCCATCTTTTGTGAGTTGGGAAAGGGATGTGGTTAGAGAAGGCACGTAGGTTAGTCCAGAGATGGGGGAGGTTGCGTTCTCATTCTCTCCTTTAAACTATAGGGAAAGCACATGGCTGGAGCATTATCTATGTCTTACACAGAAAAATTGTTATGTGTCTGCTCAAGAATTAAAATGTGAGTAGCTCAGAGCACAGATTGAGAGCCACACAAGTAGGAAATGGAAAAGGATTTCAGTTTGGGCAATTAGAATTTAGGCCTAGCTGGGCGTGGTAGCGCACGCCTTTAATCTCAGTGCTTTGGGGGGCCAAGGTGGGTTGGATCACCTGGGGTCGGGATTCTGAGGCCAGCCTGACCAACATGGAGAAACCTTGTTTCTACTAAAAATACAGAAAGTTAGCTGGGCATCGTGGCACATACCTGTAATCCCAGCTTCTCGGGAGGCTGAGGCAGGAGGATCATTTGAACCCAAGAGGCAGAGGTTGCAGTCAACCAAGATTGCACCTTGCACTCCAGCCTAGGGCTGGCAGTCATGGGCACTGTGTGTTTTTTCTTTTTTCTTTTTTTTTTTGAGACAGAGTTTCGCTCTTTTTGCCCAGACCAGAGTGCAATGGCGCGATCTCAGCTCACTGCAACCTCCACCTCCTGGGTTCAAGCGATTTTCCTGCCTCAGTCTCCCAAGTAGCTGGGATTACAGGCATGTGCCACTGTACTCAGCTAATTTTTGTATTTTCAGCAGAGACGGGATTTCTCCATGTTGGTCAGGCTAGTCTCGAACTCCCAACATCAGGTGATCCACCCACCTCGGCCTCCCAAAGTGCTGGGATTACAGGCTTGAGCCACCACGCCTGGCCACTGTGACCTTTTTTTTTAAAGCTTTTGACTATGACTAACTATTCATACCTTCTGCTCCACTCTTGAAAACATTTTCTGGGAAATTCTGTAACCTCGTGAGTGGCCCCCACTTCACAATGTTATCATTATTTTAATCTTGTCTCTAAAATGCTCGTTTTATTTTTTACTTTTATTTTTTGAGACAGAATTTTGGAGTCTTGCTCTGTCACCCAGGCTGGAGTGCAGTGGCATGATCTCAACTCACTGCAACCTCTGCCTCCTGGGTTCAAGAGATTCTTCTGCCTCAGCCTCCCAGGTAGCTGGGACTACAGGCGCACACCACTATGCCCAGCTAATTTTTGTATTTTTACTAGAGACGGGTTTCACTGTGTTGGCCAGGCTGGTCTCGAACTCCTGACCTCAGGCGATTCTCTTGAGAACTACTAGAACCCGGGAGGTGGGCAGTGAGTCAAGACCGCACCACTGCACTCCAGCCTGGGTTACAGAGTGAGACTCTGTCTCCAAAAAAAAAAAGTGATGGTGCCACTGAGACACACTGCAGATCCAATTACACCTGGTCCTCTCTCTTCTGAAGAAATCCTTGCCTAGACATTACATGAATTTATTGATAATTTTTGTCCTTTTTCCTTTCTCTCAAATGCAACACTAAAAAAAGTTTTAACAATTTTTAGGAAACAAAATTAAAAAAAAAATGCAAATCAGACACAAGTAAGAAAAAATGATCTTTAAAGAAAATAATTGAGACGAATGCCAGAGATCAGTGGCCAGCTTTGGGTATGGGAACAGTGTGACCGGAAAGGAATGCGTGAGACAAAGAGGGCTACTCTTACAATGAAGGAACCAGTGAAAATCATTTGATCTAATAGTAGCATGACTTGATTTTTATCTGTGGCCCTAGTATAATTATTCATAATGTTCCCTCTTACTTTGAAAAGTGATCCAACTTGGGCAATGAATAAGGTTACTCCAAATATTCTGCATACACTTTTTAAAAAATCTTTTTTATTTTATTCTGCATATACTTTCACAGGCCTTTAAGTTACCAGAGAATGAGAGTGTTTAACCAAAGAGTGTGCTTTTGGCCTAGCACACATTTCGCTAAGAATGGACACTCCACACCATTCTCCTTCCATCTCACTCCAACATTGCTTCTCAGCCCATTTCCTGGTGTGGGAATGCGCACACAGTCTCTTTTCCTGAGTTCAGTATTCTTCAAGTTAGATTCATTGCAGTCCATGCCAAGTAGGGGGGCCAAGATCTCCACATGTCAGAGGCCAAAATACAGCAGGTGACAAAATAATATCAGGGAAAATAGGCCACTACTTGGATGCTGTAACTGAGTATATGAATATGGATTTAATTCTTCTTTTTCAACCTGTGCCTCCTGGGTTCAAGTAATTCTCCTGCCTGAGCCTCCCGAGTAGCTGGGACTACAGGAGCCTGCCACCATGCCTGGATATTTTTTGTATTTTTAGTAGAGACGAGGTTTCACCATGTTAGCCACAATGGTCTTGATCTCCTGACCTCATGATCCACCCGCCTCGGCCTCCCAAAGTGCTGGGATTATAGCTAGGATGGTCTTGATCTTCTGATCTTGTGATCCGCCTGCCTTGGCCTTCCAAAGTGCTGGGATTACAGGCATGAGTTACCATGCCCAGTGGGATTTAATTCTTGAAACTCGCCTTTAGGAAGCTGATTAGGAAACCAGGTGACTGACTCTCTAGCGACCTTACAAATGTAGGAGACAGATACACACAAAATGAAAAGGGGCCAGAGAGATGGGTAAAAGCTCTTATCATTTCCATAAAGGACAAGGAGGGCTGGAAAAGGAAGAAGCTCTCACTACACAGTGGTACTTAGAAGAAAACATTTGAGGCGGAGCAGAAGAGATTATTAGGGCAACGAAACCCTTTTGTATGCTACTGTAATGGCATATATTACATAATGGTAGATGTTATGCATTTAAAAAAACCCATAGAACTTCATACAGTGAGTGAACTCTGATGTCAACTATATATTTTAGTTAATAATAAGCTATCAATATTGGTTCATCATTTGTAACAAATGTACCACACCAGTGCAAGTTGGTAATAACTTAGGAGAAACTGAGGTAAGGGAAAGGAAGTACATGGGAACTCTGCATCTTCTGCTCAATTTTCTGTAAATCAAAAATTGCTCTAAAAAAGGAAGTCTATTATTGTAAAAAAAATACACATTTTAAAAGTTCAAAAAAATAAAGTTAACAATAAAATATAGAAGTCATTACAAATACTCCTTCATGCATGCGGAAGAAAGAAAAATTATTAACTAGCAGATAAATCTTACTAGTAAGTGTATAACTTTTTGGAAACATAGAGAAATGACTTTCAATGGTATCATCCAGCAAGAAATTATCAAGACAGATGCTGAAGTTATTTTTCCAAGACAAGGCAACAATTTAAAAAGTTTTAGAAATACAACAATTCCCCTTTGTTAAAATAACTCTTCCAATAACACTGTATTAACAAAGAACAGAGCAAGTCAGTGAAAGTTCTGAATCACTTATCTTCCTTGCACAGAACTGGACTGAAATTCTCATGAAAGTTCTCAATTTAACTCCTTTTTTAACCAGATTGCTACATGGAAGAAGGAACTCCCAAAGTGCTGGGATTACAGGCGTGAGCCACAGTACTTCATCCTTCCTCCAATCCTTTTGTTAGCAGGAAGATTTGCATTTTTCATTAGAAAAATATCATGATGTTTAAATTAACCAGCAGTTACAGCTTAAAAAAAAATAATAATGAAATAAAAAGCAAAATAGGGTCTTATGGGTGGGCCCTAATCCAATATGACTGGTATACTTACAGGAAGAGGAGATTAGGATACAGACAACATAAAGGAACATATCTAAGAACATAGTGAGGAGGTGGCCATCTTCGAGTCAAGAAGAGGCCTCAGAAGAAACCAAACCTACTGACATCTTCATCTTGAACTTCTACCCTCCAGAAGTCAAAGAAAAGTAATTTCTCTGGTTTAAGCCACCCAGTCTGTGGTACCTTGTTTTGGCAGCGCTAGCAGACTAACAGAAGAGAACAGTGTAAGAATTTAGTGACTTGGGCTGGGCGTTGGCTCAGCCTGTAATCCCAGCACTTTGGGAGGCTGAGGCAGGTGAATCATGAGGTCAGGAGTTTGAGATCAGCTTGGCCAACACAGTGAAACCCCGTCTCTACTAAGAATACAAAAATTGACCAGGCGTGGTGGCACGTCCCTATAATCCCAGCTACTCAGGAGGCTCAGGCAGGAGGATTGCTTGAACCCAGGGGGCAGAGGTTGCAGTGAGCCGCGATCGCACCATTGCACTCCAGCCTGGGCAAAAGAGTGACACTCTGTTTCAAAAAAAAAAAAAAAGAATGTTTTGACTGGGAATACATCTTGGGTTAGGTTAATTTGGGGGTCTCACTCAGCCCTCAAAATATATATTTTTATGTTTCTTCTCTTTCATAGCAAGCAAATCCACAGACCAAAATGCCACCTCATTCAATACTCATTTTCACCTCATCCCTGGCAAACACAAGTCACATTTTAGCAGCATCTTTTTGCCCTCTTGATGGATACGGAAGTGGGTTTCTGGGAGGCAGTTTAAACTTGAGTTTTAATCTCAATCCCACCCCAATATCAGAAGGCTCCCCTCTTCCTCCCTGCCTCTTACTTAAGAAAAAATCGTGTTTGGGGGTTGGAGGGAAGACCTGGAAGAAGGTTATGAACACCAGGCTTAGGAAGGAGAGAATAAAGGATATAATTAAAATACAGTAACAGATGCACAGGCAAATGCTGGGTGTGGTAGCTCACGCCTATAATCCCAGCACTTTGGGAGGCTGAGGGGGTGGATCACTTGAGGTCGGGAGTTCAAGACCAGCATGGCCAACATGGTGAAACCCATCTCTACTAAAAATACAAAAAAAATTGCCGGGCATGTGGCACATGCCTGTAGTCCCAGCTACTTGGGAGGCTGAGGCAGGAGAATCAGTTGAGCCTGGGAGGCAGAGGTTGCAGTGAGCCAAGACTGCACCACTGCACTCCAGCCTGGGTGACAGAGTGAGACCATGTCTAAAAAAAACAAACAAACAAACCAACAAAAAAAAGTCATTCACAGGCAAGATACAGTGTGCTACAGAAGCAAGAGGTCACAGGGTGTCAGTCACTCTCCAGGGCTTGTTTGTTCTTCATCTTCCAAAGTAGCAGAGTGCAGCACTAGCTTCCATTCGGGGTTAAGAGAGAGAGACTGGGAGAGGCAGGGGGAGAAAGAAAGGTGAGCAAAGGGTAGGTATCTAAAACGGTAGGTTTGCTGCTGCACCTTGCCAGAATCCATCTGGTTTGAAGAGGAGTGACCCATGAGCTCCCAAACAGTCACCCATCTGTTTAGGGGCATAATCAGCTTCCAGGCCAAAGTGTTCCTGCTAACTGGCATCACAGAAAGATGAAGAGGATAAATCCTTGTTATCTCCCAGGACCCTGAAACCTTTGTCTCCTCTCAGGGCACCACAAAAACTTGCTTATATTTCTGGGTAGTACAGAGGGGAATTTAAATGAAAATGTATTAGATTGCTGTTGAGCACATGCCTAAGCTTATTGTCTTGCTAACCAAGACATTACCTTGCTAGCCAAGCTGTTGTCTTGTTAAGGGAACCAGCAAGATAACAAAAGAATGGACCTTTCAAGTCAACGTCTATCCAAAGCAGCGCGTTTTTAAGAAAATGATACTCATTAAAACTGTCCTTTTCTTTTTTTTTTTTCATTTTGTGGACCCACCAAAGAATGCCGTGCTTCTTTTTTCGTGGTCATAAAAATATCACATTCAGCCAGGCGCGGTGGCTCACGCCTGTAATCCCAGCACTTTTGGGAGGCTGAGGCTGGCAGATCACTTGAGGTCAGGAGTTCGAGATCAGCCTGGCCAATACGGTGAAACCCCATCTCTAACTAAAAATACAAAAATAGCAGGCCGTGGTGGTGCACGCTTGTAATCCCAGCTGCTCGGGAGGCCGAGGCACGGGATTTGCTTGAACTAGGGAGGCAGAAGTTGCAGTGGGCCAAGATGGCGCCATTGCACTCCAGCCAAAACAAACAAAACAAACACATCACATTCGAATCAGTCAGTTGAGGGAACTTCGACCAATGTATCTGAGAGGCTAGGCTTGGCTAATCCCTAGAAAAAGTAGTACTACATCGAAGAAAGAAATCCCTCTGAGGGTACACCTGAGGCTGCCAGGCCGCACAACAAAACTTTCTCATAAAAGCGTTTGATTAATCCAATTAACTTGTAAGCAAGCCATGTGGCAGGCAGAGGTAAGTGGCCAAGCACCAAGGCACAAGCCGTGATTCTAAACAAGTGCTGCCAAAGACTTTTCCTGAGCTGCAACGCAAGACGCAGAATCCACAGTTGGCCTACTTCTTAACTTTTGGGATCCAATTTTTCTTTTTGATGGGATAGCAAAAGGTCAAAGTGGAGGAAAACTGAGCCTTTGGGTGTCTCTTCAACGAGGGTTTCTCGAAGATAAACTGGGGAGGAAGGGAGAGCGCACGGCCAGTCAGTCCAACCTGCCAGTCACCACGTCTTCCAGGCCACAGCCCTGCGGGAGCAATCCTTCCAAATCCCCTGCTTTCCGTCTCGTATTGTCCCAGAGCTCCGATCAGGACCTCTCATTCCTGTCGGGCCTGCGGCCCTCTGTGACCCACCTCTGATTCAGCTTTTCCCAGGGATTCCCGCGCGGAGCGCAGGAGAGATACTGCGATTACCCTGCAGACTGGAGGGCCGGCGGGGCGGACCGGGCCCAAGGCCCCTAACCATGACGGGGCCGACGGGCAGGAGGGTCCCAGGTATCTGAAGGGCGGCGGAACCCCCACGCTGCCCCTCATTTCCCGGGGTAGCGCACAAAGTCTGTGAGGCACTTACCAGAGTCTCGTGGGCGTCCGAGGGGCGCGGGAACCCCAGCTGCGGCCCTGGCAGCAGCAGAGCCCTAGACGTGGGCAGGGCCAGCACCCGCCCTGAGAGAGAAGACGACCGCAGCCGGGCACCGCGGCGAACAGGAAGGCGGGGGAAGGCGGGGATGCGCTTCCGGGGCTGCAGGCGGGGAACCGCCCCGAGTCCCAGCCGGAGAGAGCCGGTTCTCCCCCTGGCAACACTGTGTGGGCCTGAGGCCCGTCCTGAGCACCGCTGCCGCGAGCTAGCAAGACGGAAATTTATGACTGCCTGAAAAACCTTTAAAAGATTCACATTGTAAGAATTTCGTAGTAAGAGAAAATGAGAAGGCGTGTTTCCGCCCGGTTTCGAACCGGGGACCTTTCGCGTGTGAGGCGAACGTGATAACCACTACACTACGGAAACCCGTTAGGGACGGCCTCTCAGAGCTGGCAGTTCTGCCTCCTCGGTGACTACTCTGGTCCTTTGTCCCTTCGAAGCGCCCGTTTTGGTGATGTGCGCATGCGTCTCTCTACCGCCCTCTCAAACCAGAAAAACCAATGAAAAGCTCAGAACCCGCTCCTCGGTGTTCAAACTGAAGCCATACCCTTAAGAATTGATGCTATAAATGACTGAATGGGGAAGAACACAATAGAGACTTTAATATCTCTGAACGTCCTTCGTTCTTCGGCCAAAACGGACAGGGGAGGCGGGGCACGACCTGGGTAGGGCGAGCACTTCTCTGGCGTAGTTAGCGCTGCCACGTGGTCAATGGCAGATTTTGCGACCCCCATCCCTTGGCAAAAGCGGCCTTTCTTGCTTATGAGACTTCCAGGCAAATTTACGTTGCTCGAATTTCCTTACTCCGTTGAACTGCTGCGGAGTCGGAAAGTTGTAAAACGAATCGGCACACACCGAGCCAGCCAGGAGTCGAACCTGGAATCTTCTGATCCGTAGTCAGACGCGTTATCCATTGCGCCACTGGCCCTGCACGTGCTCTCGTGGCAGGGTGTTTTATATGGAGTGAGCTCGTACCCTTACGCCTGGACGAGGCCAGTAAGTCCCCTCTGCCCGGCATGTCCAGGCTCGTACCGCGTGGACTCCACCGTAGCCACTTTGGCACACGCCGCGTAGCCTGCCTTCCTTTCTCGGCCTGTCTCTGTCCGCTGAAAATGGCAGTGAAAAGCAAGGCCTGCATCCTCCCTGCCCCAGTATCACCGCCCCGTTCGTGCCTTCGTTCATTCAACCAATATTAGTGTTCGAGACACTGTAGAGAACGGTGAAGAACACATGAGAGATCCTTGCCCTCAAGATTACATGGCAGTGGCGGAAGCGAATAGTAAAGCACTAAATAAATGAAATAATAGTGATAAGCGATTGGAGAAAAATAATAAAACAGGGAAAGGGGATAGGAAAGACCAGTAGCGAAAGTGGTCAAGGAGAGATAAATGCTGGTATCAGGGGAAAAGAGTGATCTGGAATGGGAAGAAGTCGCCAGGGGAAAGGCCTGGAGGTGGGGGCAGGCTTGGAGTTGTTTTGAGCAGGCGGGTGCTCAGTGGAGGGGAAGAGGAGACCCAGGGAGACGCTTGTAAGGACTCTGGCTGGTATTCTGTAGGAAGCTGGAAGCCATTGTACGGTGGCATGGTCTGACTTTTTATTTGTCTTTCCGTGGGTCTTTTTAAGTTATTATACAAATACTTTACTAAGCAAAACCGTGCTAGGCATCCTCACAGCATGCTGTTCTGCTTCAAGGCTTTCACCTCAGAATCTGACAGCTTTATGAGGAGCATCAGCAAACTGGACACACATGTGAATGTTCACTTGTTCACTTTGAAAGCAAACAAATATCTCGTATGTGTGTGTTTTAGTTTGTCCATAATTCTGAGAAAAAATCATCCCAATGCCTGGTGAGCGTTTTAAATAAGTTGAGGCCTGCTAAACAGGAGTAAAGCTGCCTAATGTGAGCATACACACGTTGAGATTAGAAAATATTTGTTTTCAGTTCATAAAGTTTCGACAGATCTTATAAAAAATATTCTGCTCTTTCTGCATAAACATTAAGGTAGACATAGTTTTGCATTCCTCCCTAGACAATAATAGCATAGGGGTCTTCTTATTAGGTTTTGTACTATGGACCCCTACAGCAGCTTGGTGATTATGGAATCCATCTCAGAATAATACTTTTATTTTTTTTTCAAGAGGGAGTTTCACCATGTTGGTCAGGCTGGTCTTGAACTCCCGACCTCAGGTGATCCCGCCTGCCTTGGCCTCCAAAGTGCTTGGATTACAGGCTTGAGCCACCAGGCCCAGCCAGAATAATACTTTTAAATATAAGGGAAAAAAAGATAAATATGTGAGATTTCAAAAGAAAACTATGTTAAAATAGATTACCATAACATTTTAAAACTCATGACATCATAATATTTGTGATCCTTTATTAATATACTAAATGATAATATCCCCTGGTTGGGTTCTAATAAATATTGGAATTTCATTTTTAAAAAATTTTTTATTTTTTATATTTTTGATTTTTAACTTTTCTGTGATCGGAGGCTCACTGGAAAATATTGGAATTTCAAAGCAGTCATGAGCATAAATGATATTTTAAGAAATTTGTAACAACTGTATTTCAATGAAATTTTTTGTTTTCGATAGCAATACTCATGAGGGCTGAAATGCCACTTTGGGTTGTTGCCTACATTCCTAACGGAAGAAAACACAAAATTTCACCAACATCTTAGTCAAAATAAACATTTATTTTCCCATCCCAATTCACAGATGAACGTCTCCCCATTGGAAGCAAGAGTAGATTTCTGTACTGAAGAGGAGTTTGGAAACATGAACAACTGTGCTTGAATATTCATAAATGAGGCAAACCGGGATATTGCCTGCTTCTGTTTTATCCTTATCATAGAGCCAGGATGGGGAGGCCAGATTTTAGAGCTTTTCTGGAAGTCACAGGTCCCACCTGGCACCTTCAAAATGGGCTTTAACCCAGCTGGCTGTAGGATTTGTTCACATTCACTCTCCTCAGTGTTTGCCTCTAAAAATTTATCTGTGTTTTCCAGGCTTTGAAGACTTCCCTGGGGTGCCTCAAATTTCTTAGCCATATTCACTACAAGAAATACCTTCGACCAGGTGTGGTGGCTCACGCCTGTAATCGTAGCATTTTGGGAGGCCGAGGGAGGTGGATCATCTGAGGTCGAGAGTTTGAGACCAACTTGACCAACATGGAGAAACATGCCTCTCTACTAAAAATACAAAAATTGGCCAGGCATGGTGGGGCATGCCTCTAATCCCAGCTACTCGGGAGGCTGAGGCAGGAGAATCGCTTGAACCCGGGAGGCAGAGGTTGCAGTGAGCCAAGATGGTGCCATTGCACTCCAGCCTGGGCAACAAAATCAAGACTCCGTCAAAAAAAAGAAAAAAAGAAAAAAAAGAAAGAAAGAAATGCTTTTGGTAATCTCTCTACGTCTTTTCTGACAGTTCCAGTTTCAGCTTCCAGTCTTTTCTTCAGCATATGTTGGAGAAACAGAGTCCAGATATATAAATCTAGATATACATCTAGATCTAGACCTTTGATCTTGGGTGAGGACTGTCAAGTCTGAAACCTGTAGGGTTGCAGTGTAGGCTGGAAACTCAGGCAGAAGCTGATGCAGAAGTCTTGAAACAGAATTTCTTCTTCCTTAAGGAAGCCTCTGTTTTTCTCTCAAAGCCTTTTTAATTGATTGGATAAGGCCCGTCTACATAAAGGAGAATATTTAAGGTTAACTGATTGTTAGCCACATTTACAAAATAACTTCACAGCAACATGCAGATTAATGTTTGATTGAATAACTGGGTACTATAGCCTCGCTAAGTTGACACATAAAACTATCACAGTGGCGACTCTTCTCCTCCGTGTTTCAGTGCAGTGTTTTTCAGTTTCACTCCCAGGCATATGGAAAACTGCACCGTCTGCCACTGTCACACTTTTTTTTACGTGACTGTCAGCAGTCTGTGGCATAGAGACCTGCATCCTCTCCAATTTCAGATGTGTGGAGCGGAGCCAGTGTGAGGGTTCCATGGCTCATCCTGATCACACTGGGAACTGAGTAGAAGATCCAAGTTCTGTAAATGACTACTCGAAGTCTCAATCTGCTTCCAACGCTTAACTCTGGCTAAACAACTCCTTTGACATCCTAGAAATTCTGTGCAAACTTCGTCAGCTGCCGAAGGAAAAACCGAAATCGAATACTATTGGCTCTGCTGTCTGGTGTCTGCCACAGTTTGGTTAAAGCCATATTAGGTGTGACCGTGCTGTTTATGATGATTATATTGGCCCCAAGCACGCTAATAATATGATGGCTAATCTTATAATAATAAAGTAATAAGTGCTTGTTCCATGAGTCTCAATCCAAGTAAGTGCTGCGTTCATAGACTTGCATCTTTTTATAAAAATGAAAATTGTAGTCGATGTGGCCTTTTACCGTTCTCCCCATCACATATATAGGCAAAGGTACATGCCAATGTCTGCCTTAGAGTGTGACAACGAAATCCTTCAAATATTAATACAGCTAAGAAATACTGAAATGTCCATTCAGGACAATAAATTTCAAGTTAAACAGCCAAACACAATTACAGGTTCCATTTGGGAAGTTACTTTCACAGCTGTGCCAACAATTTGTAAACTCTTCAGAATTTCATTAAACCCTTTTGTTCAAATTATATTCCCAAGATCCCATTTCCTTTAATAGAGAACAGAATGAGTTGGAAACACATAAGCCCCAATGACAATATAGAAATTCTTTCTCTCTCTCTCTCTCTCTCTCTCTCTCTGTATGTGTGTGCGCGCGCGCGCATGTGTGTATACACATACATGTAATGCTAATTTGACACATCAGATCAGATCCTTTGGACAGTATTAGGACAAAAAAACTTCTCTCTCCGTAATTATACAGGGAAGGAGACTTCTTTATCTCTTTCCAAGATTAAGTTGTTAAATCTTGCGTTTTTAAGGAGCAACTCTGGAACCCCATTACCTAATCTTATAAGCAAGAAGCAGGTAGGTCGAGACCAATTTTAACGGAAAGAAATGGGGTAAGGAATGCCTGGAATTTTAATTTAATTCCAGTTTAAATTAAACGCCATGAAATAAGAAGCAACCAGCTTGCTTCCTGCTAGGATCAGTTCTTGGTGCCGGAAGTGTTCTGGTGTAAATGCGTTACACGACCCGGAGGAGAGTTCTGTAAATGTGGCTGGCTCCCCGCTCTCCTACCCTCCTCCCTGGCGCCGGAGATCATACTTTACCCACGTTAGGATGAGCCGCCTGCTCTTTGAGGCAGTTTCTCAGAGGACTCCCCTGTGCGCCCCGGGGGGTCAGGCTATCGCCAGCGTTTCCCCCAACCCCCGTACCCCCGCGCGAAAAACTTCATT